GATAGATAATACTGATGGATTTCTAATACTTAACCTATTTGCATTACTAGAATAAATCTCACTTTTTTATTAAAAAGTATCATTTTTTAAATGAGCTGCTGGAGTCTGCTGATATTTTAAGATTTCTGAATGCTTTTCACAAGTGAGAGTATTCTGTTGTTTTCTTTTGATACTATTTCAAGTCACAAGATAAATGTAATTGCTTCATAAAAGAAATTTTGAAAAATGTCTTTATCTATGATCTGGAATAGGTTAATTAGCATTGTGATTAACTGTTTTTCAAATGATGGATAGAATGTTTCTGTGAAGCCAGCTAGGCCTAGTGCTTTCCACAGAGGAGTCTTTTAACCCCTTTCTCTACCTGCATTATGATAATTAGTCTGGTTAGATTTTATTTTCTAGGATTAATTTTAGTAAGTTGTGTTTTCTTTAAAAAATATCTATTTGATCTATTTTTTAAACTTATTTTCATAGAGGTGTACAAAGTAGCCTTCTAAGGCTTTTAAAATTTTTCCTCTGCTTTTAATGATTATGTTTCCTTTAACATTTGGGGCTTTTGTTTTTCCTCTTGTTCTTTCTTTATTAGATTAGCTGATGGTTTGCCATTTTGTCGCATTTTTTCCAAGAACTCTATGTTGCATTTATTAGTTTCATTGTTTTACTCTTCTCTAATTAAAGAATTTATACTTTCTTCAAAAATATCTGGAATTTTGGCAATTTTTGAGGTAATTCTGAATCCAGATTTGGGAATTACAGCTGTGATCCATGTAGTTTTTTACGAGAAATTAGTCATCTGGTGCCCCATTTTTTTCCTTTTAGTATTGTTTTCATATTACTGCACGTGTTTTCTCTGTGAATGTGCTTCAGATGGAAGCTCTTTGAGGCTAAGACTATACATTGTATTTCTTAGGAACAATAAATATTGATATTATGGCTAGGAAGTTAGAGAATTAATGTAAGCAGGAAGAACTTGTGGCATGCAGCTTCCGAAAGGTCTCCCAACAATCCCTACCTCTTAGTACTCATATTTTTGTCTCACTCCTTCTGTCCTTTAGTGTGGGCTAGATCTAGGGACTTGCTTCTGTGAAGTAGAATAGGACAAAAATATTGGAATGTTACCTCCAAGATTGGGCTATAAATGACATCTTCTTTGTCCAATTCAGAATCTCTCTGTATGTCTTGATTTTCTCATTTGCTTGTTCTGATGAAGTAAACAGCTATATAATGAGCTATTCTATGAAGTGGCTGTATAATGAGCTATTCTATGAAATGGTCCATGTGTTGAGTAAAAGGGAGTGGCCTCTGGCCTATAGTCTGCAGCGAATTTAAATCTACCAACCACCATCTGAATGATTCTGGAAGCAAATCTGCCTCCAGTTGAGCCTTGAGATGATGTAGCTTAAACCAGCATCTTGACTGTGACTTTGAGAGAAACCCAGAGCCAGGGAGCCCAGCTGAAATACACCTAGATTCCTGCTCTGCAAAAACTTTGAGATAATAAATATTGTTTTAAGCTACTACTTTAGTGTAATAATTTGTTATGCAGCAATAGACAATCAATACAGAAACCAAATTCTGTATACTTGTTTTGATCCAGGAAACATTGTCCAGTTCAAAACTGAACACTCTAGTTGTAATTTGGAAGTAATCTGCTCTGCAGAAAAATAACTAAATCAGAATTTAAAATACAATAATGCAATTAATACCAAAATTTGTCATTTAAAATGAAAGGTATTTTCCCAACATTTATAAAAACACTTCATTTTAATTTGTTAAAGGTTACCAGTTGTCCCTGCCCTCATTTTTTTTTTTTTTTGAGATAAGATTTCACTCTGTTACCCAGGCTGGAGTGCAGTGATGTGGTCATGGCTCACTATAGCCTCAACCTCCTGGCCTCAAGCAATCCTTCTGCCTCAGCTTCCTGAGTAGCTAGGACTACAGGTTCATGTTACCATGCTTGGCTAAGTTTTTAAAATTTTTTGTAACGATGGGATCTCGCCTGTTGCCCAGGCTGGTCTTGAACTCCTGGCTTCAAGAGATCCTCCCACTTCAGCCTCCCAATGTGCTGGGATTACAAGCATGAGCTACCATGCCTGGCCAATTGTCTTTTGGAATAACTTATTTTTAGTGTGGCTTCTTTTAAAAACTCATATCTGCACATAAGTATTTATAACATGCCAAGTGAATGACAGACTGCCTAGATAAAATGTGTAGATTAAGGTTGAATTATAACATGTATTTTTTACTGTACAGTATTTTAACCAACATTAGTTTCCTAACACTGGTGGAGACTGCTGGTTGTCCTCCACTTCTTCCACAGTAATATAGTTTAAGCTGGACATAAGGTTACCCTGCTAGAGATAACATTTCCAAGTCTTTCTCACTGATGGAATGTCAGTGGAAGTGATGTGTGAACTTCTGCCTCACTTGCTTAATCAGACATTGCTGCTCAGGACATTCTCTCTCTCTCTTCACCCTTTCAGGAACTGAACCTCAGATGTGCCCTAACCCAGATTCAACCATGCAAAAGAGGATAATGACCTAAGGCTCAGTTTCAGGGTATGGTGGAGCAATCAGATGAAAAGAACCTGAGTCACGGAGTAGGGCCATGGAGCAGAGCTTCCTACCAACCTCAGCTGCTTGCCTTAGAACCATTCTATGAAAGAGAAATACATATCTGTGTTTCTTAAGCCACTGTATTTTGGGGTCTCTTTGTGACAGTAGCTTAATCTTTATCTGAACTAATATTAATACATCCATCATCAATTCCTTTTAAATATGTCATTTTGTAATTGATATACATATACATACATATATATATATATATGTATATACACAATTGAGCAAAGTACAAATAATTGGATTTCTGCCCTGGAAAAAAAAAGGGGGGGGGTGAGGGTGAAATGTGTTTCCCACAGGTATGACTAGTGTTCAATGATCAAAGAACTACAAGTTGTTTTTCGGGCATCAAAAAACTTTTTTTTGCATGACTTCAAGCTACTATTTAATATCTCTGCACCATTACAGCAGTCTTTCAGCCCTACCACTTCTCAAAGATGTTGGTTTTTGTTAGGTTGGTTGGGAAATCCATGTTCAGAATTAAGACTGGGCCTTAGAAAAAAAGGCTCTAGGGAAATGTGCTTACCACTGCCCAGAAGGCTCCTCAGTCTCACTCGAGATGTTCAGAGCCAAATTCTCCTGAGGATTCCTTCCTAGATTGAATGGCTGCAGCACAATACACCTTGTTATCATGATCTCACTAGGCCTTACAGAGCTTATCTCAAGATTATTTTTACAAGAGCCTTATAAGAAAGACAAGAAATGAGGATTATCATTTCATTACAGAGATAAACCCAGACATGCAGTAACTTACATCAGGTGGCATGGTGAGCCATTGAAAGCTGGAATCAGTAACTGATCCTCCATGGAGATAAAATGCTCTGTCTGTAAATACAGTTCTTCGGCAATTACCTTAATGCTGGGTGTGCCATGTTTTGCTTTTCCTTTTTCCTAATTGGGAGAAAGAAAAATTGAAGCACTAAATTTGGGAGACACGTGAGGCAAGTGCCATTACAGGAAAACATATTTCTTTAACACATAAGCAGAACAGGTTCCCAACGATTGCAGCTCCATCTTCTAAAACCAACCCTGTAAATGAGCCAGCAGTATTGTGGAGAGAGGCTTCTAACTCCTGAGCTGGACATTTCTGTGTGTGATCCCGCCACGCAAGACAGTAACTCTGTGTGTCTTCTGTAAGAGGAGAATGGTGTTCCTGAAGAGCTACAGCACTTTCTCAGTCCCCTTGACTTTGTTCTCCAGATAGGACTGAGAAGTAAGAAAAGTAGAAACTAGGGCATGAAGGAGGACCACACCATCCTGGAAAGTCACATCCCAAGGACATTCAGTCCTAAAAGGACAACTGAATAAATAAGGCAATGATAGATGTTCATGAATCATCATTTGTGCAACCAAATTCTTAGTAGGCTTTGCATGGACAGTCAGTAAACATGCAGGCTTCTGTGGCAAACGGAAGACAGGATTAAATCGCACTTTTGTTGCAGACCGATCACCTGGGCCTAATTTGGCTGCTGCCTCCCACGGGATCTCCGGATCTCCGAGCCTAGGAGGGAAATTTAGGAGGGGAAGAGGGAAAACCAAGGCCGGCCTGCAGGATGTTTCCTTTGTTGTCTTCTGCTGAGCGCCCTAAAGCAGGTGCAGGTGCAGTGAGATACCTAATCCTGTCCCCACTCCTCCAGCACTTCATTAGCTTCTAGCTTAAAGTCCCCCCAGATGGTCTGATGCGGTCTTCCTAGTGCCATTGCTTAAAAGAGAGGCAAAGCAAAAAGAAGTAGGAGAGAGTGGTAAGCATCTTTTTTCTCAATGCGGAAAACCCAGAAGGGAGTTTCCTCCCCACCCACCTGAAAGTGTTTCCCAGTTGCCAAATCAAGGGCGGGGGCAGCGACGCGAAGGATGTTGACTCAGGGCCCACTTGGAACCTCCTGGGTACTTGAGCAAAGTCGAGGGTGTTCGGACCTCTGGGGAGACGTTGCATCACGCAGTTTGGAAAGAACTTGGGAATTTTCCTTAGGGGGCTCGCTGTACTTGCTGGGAACTAGTCTTGGAGGGACGTGGGCCTACGTGGGTGGCTGTGGGGAGCTGGCGTGTGAGGAAGTCTGGCTTCACCTTGGGCTCAGAGTTGCAAGGAAAGTCACTATGGGATCAGCCTGCGCCCGAAAGGATGGACTCGCGCAGGTGCACGCGCGCTCGGCCGCTCCATTAGTGTCACGGGAGGGAGTGGGATGTTTGGGGGCGCCGCGAGAAGAGAGGCGCAGCTGGGACACCTGCACTCCTCTGCCCGGTTACTGGCTGTCCTGGCCCCAGGGCCGCCCAGGTTCCCAACAGGGTTCCCTTGCCCTCCCGGACGGAGAGAAAAGGGGACGCGCCTGGCGCAAGGTGGAGGCGGACACCTGGGCGGGCGCTAGGACCCGGGCGGCGCACCTGTTGGCTGGGACCCGGGGCCCCGCCCGCCCGGCCTCCGCTCCGGGTGCGGGACCGGCGGGGGCAAGGCGGGAGCGGCGGTGCCAGCGGAGGGCACCGGCCCGGCGTGGCGGCGGCGGCAGAGCGCGGCCCCGGGCTCACCATGGCCGAGCTGCTGCGGAGCCTGCAGGATTCCGAGCTCGTCGCCCGTTTCCAGCGCCGCTGCGGGCTCTTCCCCGCGCCGGATGAAGGCCCCCGGGAGAACGGCGCGGATCCCGCCGAACGCGCGGCGCGGGATCCCCGGGGTCGAGCATTTCCCCGCGGCCAACGGTGGCGGGGCCCCGGCCAAAGGGCTGCGCGGAGCCGCAGCGCCGCAGGTAACCGCGGGCAGGTGTTCACCGGGGATGGGGAGGGGGCGGCTCGGCGACTCCGCCGCGCGGGGCTGGCCGGGTGGAGAGGGCGCTATCCCCGGCAGCGACCCGGCTCCGGGCCCTGCGAGTGGACGGGGAGGCCTGGGCTTCCAGTAACCGGGATGCAACCCCCGAACGCTGCCAGGGCCAGCCGGGTCCACTGAGGTATCCCCAGACCCTGTCAGTGCTGTGCGTTTACAGACTTCCCACTTTAAAAAGTAGTTAAATTCAGGTAGATGCCAGCAGATATGTAAGAGTTACGTAATGGAACAGAGGAGCGGGGATGTCCTTGGCACTTCCCCGGGAAGACGTTCTTAGACTACCCCCTCCCCCCGTATTCTTGCATTTCCGCCCATCCCCCTTCCCGGATTCACACGTTTGCGGGTGCTGCTGGGCTTGCCGCGCTCCTCACCAGCTCTGGGGACAGAACTTCGGGCTCAAACAGCTCCTAGAGAGATTTACAACCCCCTGGACTAGCCCCAGCGATGATGTCCTAACAGCACCTCCTGCTCGCCCTTCCCCAGAGTCTGGCGGGGCAGGCGGGGGGGTGGGGGTGGCTCCTGCCCGGTGGGTCTTCTATGGACTGACGCCAGTGACTTCTAACAGATGCTTCTGATGCTTCTGGGTGGGAAGCCCGCCGCGCTCCCGACTAGGCGTTCAGACCCTGGTTATACAACCCGCTGCGGCTTGGCAGGGACTAGCGTGAGTTGTCGTCGTCGCAGTGCACAGGGACTCCAGGCAAGAGGGAGAAGACGGGCTGCACTTGGCTTCTGGGGATGCCTGTCTACAGGGGCCACCGGCAGCGGCTGCCCTTTCCCTCCGCAAAGTGGCAAAGTGGCAAAGTCAAAAGTGTGGCACAGGAGAACAGAAGCAACCTATTAGCAATTCCAACTCCTTGTACAAAAGCCACATTTTGTTCTTCGGTGACAGAAAAGGGGTCTTTATTTATGTGTAAATTTCTAGATGTAACTGAGGAATTATGAAGAACCTGGCTTCTGTGTGGAATGGAATATTCAAGGCATTGGATTCTAGAATGAGTTTGGGAGGATGAAGGTGGGTGTGTGTTTCACTCCAGAGAAATCCCCCTGTGCATTTTTTTCCCTCATTATTGTTCCTTCTTTATCCCATGTGACTTTCTAGTACCTTATAGATGAGTATGAGAACCCCCTCTTTTCTCTTGCCTTATCTTAAAAAGAGGGCAGAGTAGGGGGGATAAGAAATTAGCCAGGTGTGGTGGCCCACACCTGTAGTCCCAGCTAGTCGGAAGGCTGAGGGAGGAGAATAGCTAGAACCGGGAGACAGAGATTGCAGTGAGCTGAGATAGTACCAACAGAGCCAGACTGTCTCAAAAAAAAAAAAAAAAAAAAAAAGGCACCTGACCGAACCGTGCCATGACATCTTCAGTGCACACACCATTGGCACCCGCAGGTAGTTGCGTGGGTTGCTTTCTGTTGCTGTCTTCATAAGCTTCTACCCTGTTTCTCTAATTCAGGAAGCTGAAAGAGTGAATTGTTCCACTAGTGCTTTTCGAGCTGCTTTAAACATCACCCCTGGTAACTTAACTTTAAACTCCAGAGTTGGGTCCTCTTGATCTTTAAAAGCAAGATAAGGAAATTTCTTACACAGTGATATCTTCTTGCTACTTGCTGATCCTAGGTCTTCAGTGAGCCAAATGGTGGGGTTTTCCCCGTACCCACCTGCCCAACACAGGACATCTGCTCAGAGATCACTTAAAAGCAAGAGAGCTAAATGCACAAGATAAGAAATCACTGTGTTGGTATATAATGTGAGACATAAACTTGAGAGCGTTTGATAAATGAAAGGTTAATGAATAGTTTTTACAGGTGGGTTGGTTTCAAATGACTTGGGAAGATTAATCCTTTTTATACACACATAGAATCCCTCCTCAAAAATGATCTCATACCTGCACCCAGGTAATGTACAGGACTTTAAGGGGGCAGTTGTGAAAAGTATGCTGCCCTCTCTGCCTCTGGCCTTTGAACAGGCCTTGGCCTGCCTGAGCTGCCTGTCCTTTCTAAATAACCTCCCCACCCATCCTTCTGTTTCCAAAGGTCAGTTCCTCTATGGGTGCCTTCTCTGACCTTCCAGCCTAGCTCCCTCTGCCATAGACTCTCTTTGCTTGCTGGGTTTCTTCATTACAGCATTTATCACATTGTCTAAATGTGCCTTTGTGTGGATATCTGATCATTGACAGCCCCTCCAGTGGATGGTAAGCTCTAAGAATCCAGGAAACTTGTCTGTTAGGGTCCTTATTTTCTTCCCATGGTCTGGCATATAGGAGGAGCTGGTGGCTTTTGTGAATACATGAGTGTAGATTGCAATATAAAATAATAGTTTTTAACTTTTTTTTTAAGAGACAGGATCTTGCTGTATCATCCAGGCTGCAGTGCAGTGGTGCAATCATAACTGACTGCATCCTCCAACTTCTGGGTTCATGCAGTTCTCCTGCCTGAGCCTCCTGTGTAGCTAAGACAATAGATGCATGCCATCATCTGGCTTTTTTTTTTTTTTTTGTAGAGACAGGGTCTCAATATGTTGCTGAGACTAGTCTTGAACTCTTGGCCTCAAGTGATCTTTCTGCCTCAGGCTTCCAGAGTGCTGGAATTACAGGTGTCAGCCACTGTGACTGGCAATGTTTTATTAAAAAAAAAAAAAAAAAAGCGAATATTGAAAATCAAAGGATATTTCTACATAACCTAGAAGGCAGCACTGGGATATTGATTTAAGACCCTTCAAACAATAGAGAAGTTTTCTTCTTCATTTGAGTGACTTTAGATCTTAATGAATCTAATTTACCTTCCCACCTTTCACATTTTCTATGTTTCTTTTAATTTTGAAAACAGGGTAAGTGTAGAAATGATTGACTGAAATTTTCTCTGCAAGTTCTCATTATACCACATGCTGCTAGCTTAAAGATTAACTGTGTCTTTTACAAACCAGGAGTGGGCTTGGCTTGTACAAGCCTGTCATTGAATAAATTGGAATGAGCCTTAGAGATTGCCCAGTAGTCATGAATTTCACAGAAAGTCTGAGTCATGAAGGGTTAAGCGATTTGTTGAGGACTTCCAGGATATCTGCAAGGTCAGGGGAAATCAGATCTTTTGACTCCCAAGTCTAAATTTCTTTCCTCTGTGCAGATTCCAGGGAAAATTCCAGGACCTCACTTTATCTAATTCACTGAGGTGTGTCTTGTTGGTCCATCTGGGGCAGGGTGGAGATCGTGTGAAAAGAGGTGATACTGCTTTCAGTTTGCAAGGGTATCTGAATTGCAAGAGTAACTGTAGGAAGCCATTTTTGGTTATTGCACTGGGAAGCACTGCCCTGAGCAAAAGGCAGGGGCCTAGGACTGTGCTGGGAAGATAAAGTGTGATGAGAATTTTGTTTATTTGTTCTGGGGTAAAGCCAGCCTCAGATACAATGGAATTTTGATTTCTATCATTTTTGCTTACTCAATCCAGTTGTGTTGAGTTATACTCTGCAGCGCCTTCCTCGGCATTACATTAGACTAAGGATCATATTTTCTAATGTCCCTGTGTCCAGTGTTTTCTGATAACTGCTCAGACATAGTTCTCACATTGACTTAGGGAGATCAAAGATAAGTTGTTTCTAGAAATCTTTACACTCCTAGTTTCCCTCTTGAAGCCATCAGAGGCCTTCTAAATCTGTTAATCTCCAAAACTCCACCCTTGATTTCATTAGTGTGCTAAAGTACAAACAATATGTCCCAGAAACCAGGAGACTGGGATCTAGTTCTACCTTCATGTTATTTTGGACTTCTCTGAATCTCAGTTTTTTCATCTGCAGAATGAACAGAATGGAAAAGGACCATGGTTTTCTTTCTGTCTTTCTCTTTCTTTCTTTCTTTTTCTTTCTCTCTCTTTCTCTCTCTTTTTCTTTTTGATGGAGTCTCGCTCTGTTGCCCAGGCTGGAGTGCAGTGGCTTGATCTTAGCTCATTGCAACCCCTACCTCCTGGATTCAAATGATTCTCCTGCATCAGCCTCCCAAGTAGCTGGGACTATAGGCATGTGCCACCATGCCCAGCTAATTTTTATATTTTTAGTAGAGATGAAGTTTTGCCGTGTTAGAGAGGCTGGTCATGAACTCCTGACCTTAGATGATCTGCCCACCTTGGCCTCCCAAAGTGCTGGGATTACAGGTGTGAGCCACAAAGCCTGACCAAGAACCGTGGTTTTTTAACCATGACTGTACAGTATAGTCACTTAGAGAAGCTTTAAAACAAAACAAACATCAACGAATGTCCAAGATTCAGATTAGAAGAGGGGTCCAGAGAAGCTGGCCAACCAAGTTGGGAAGCTCTGAGTTCTCTTATCCTGGGCCCCATGACCGTTAGTGTATTCAGTAGGAGGGTGGTGATGGCTGCAGGCAGTGGTCATGGCTCCTGTGACATTTTGGCTTCATCATTACTAAACTGGCCAACAGGTCAGAATGCAAGTTTTGATGATCTTTTATTGGATGCCGAGGTTTGAAAGGACAAAATGAGATATTTTGAAAGTATACATTTGATCATTCTTTCTAGTTACAGATATCATCATTGTTCATAGGAGAAAACTTGGAAACACACCAAGAGAAAGTTAAATTCATGCCCATTATATCACCCTCCACCCCCATGCTAATCACTTAGTAAATGTTCAGCCTAATTTTTAATGGCTGCATGTTCCTCCACAGGATGGATATACTATAATTTAGTCGGCCAGGTACGGCATCTTTGGGTTGTTTCCAGTTTTTGCATTAAAAATGATAATGTCTTTGTACAAGTATCTTTCTACCTGTCTTTGATTGCCTTCTAAATAAAATGTCCAGACTTGAAATTGCTGAGTGAAAAAATTGCATATATTATGACTCTTAAGAGCTATTACCAAATTGCCCCACAGGAAGGATATATTAGGGTAAACCATGACAAGTGAAGGTTTTCTCCTCACCAATG